AACATCGTTTCCATAGGAAAGTTAACGACTAGCTAGGATGAATTTGTAACGGCTCTTGTCGCATAGTTAGAAAGCCAAGAAAATTTTGAGAGGTGGGTGAATTTGTCTACATTTTGTATGTTATTAGTTTATATTCTTTGGTGCATTTTTTAATTAAATAAAAATTGTTAAACTATAAAATTTTACTGAAAAAAAACGTTTGAAATACATTTAGAAGGTTTTTAGAGATTACACAAAGGAAATTAGAGATTTTGAGATTTTTTGAATTTTAACATGAAAATTACTTTGCACATGGACTATTGTAAACAAATACTCAATATATTCATGGATAAATCTTATTTTATTTTATTACTAAAAAATATGACTTTTTGTATGTGAAAGACTTGTAATATTAACTGAAAGACTGCCAAATTTCGTGAAGATATACCCAATATATTGAGAATTATAAGTATTAAATTTATCAAGACTTTAAACGAGTACAAAAGGTCACATGACTCGGTCAAATTAACAACCCCATGTTGAGAGAGTAAAGAAAGAATAATGGGGAGCTTGTATACAGATTGGGTATAGAGAGCATATTCACTTAGATAGAAAGAGTCACAAGATTAAAATCACTAGGGGCGATATAGTGGGGTATAAAGACTGAAGCACGTGAGGTAAAATTCATGCTAACACTTAGATAGGCAAAGAATAGAACCTTTCATCAGGATAAAGCTTAAATGTGAGCGGATGTAAGTATTATCAGAAATACATTTTCGGTATAGGAGAATGTAAACTTTCATGTCTTATGAATAAATTATATTTTGTTAGAGTTTAAAGTTCAAAGTGAGAAGTTGTTTTCTCTTATCTAAAACAGTACAAAAACTACAATTTTATAGGCTTCAAAGTTTTATATATGTCTTTTTCCCTATTTAGGATCTTAACGTCATGCAAGTTAATGTTATGTGGATGTTTTACAGCTCATAAATGTGAGAAAGATCTTCCACTTCACCTCAGAAATTTGCAACTTTCTTTGCAGTATGCTGTGAAACTTCAGTATTTACAGGAGCATCTCACATGGCATTGTGTCTTAACTCTCTCAACATGGGGTCGGTCAAATTGACAGACCCCATGACCTCTTTGTACTCATTTAAAGTCTTTATAGATTTTAATACTTGTAACTTTCAGTATAGTATGTATATCTTCACAATATTTGGCAGTCTTTCAGTTAACATTATAAGTCTTTCACATACAAAAAGTAATATTTTTAGTGAGGTATTTTTAATAAACTAAAATAAAGATTTGTCCATGTATATATTGAGTATTTGTTTTCAATAGTCCATGTGCAAGGTAATTTTCATGTTAAGATTAAAAATATTTTTTCTCATCTCAAAAATCTCAAATTTCCTTTGTGTAATCCCTCCTAAATACATTTCAAACGTTTTTCTAAGTAAAACTTTATATTTCATCTGTTATTTTCTCTAAACTAACTCAAAATGGGATCACTCAATTTGACCGACCTTGTAACCACCAAAAAAAAAAAAAAAATCTAGATTACCCCTGTTTTGTTTCTAGAATGACGTCAAAGATGCTTAGAGAAAGTATGTCATGAGTGTTACACTAGGGGAAGTTCAAGATTTTTTTTATATTCTCTTATTGAATTAAGAACTTAAAACTTGTAAAATATGGATTATTAGCTAAGTGTTTATGCCATATTAATTGGTATTACATAAACAAAAAGTAGTTTAATAAACTTTTGAATTTAAGACATTAAAAGTTTCTGTCATGCATAGTAAAAGATACCTGAGGTGAAAGGGTTAATTCCTCTGTGGGCTGTGCTTTTTACAAATAGATGATCTAGTATTTCTACATTTGGCTTTCATATCCAAGAACAGTTGACTGAAATGGGTATGACATTATATGATATTGCATGATCCAATGATTAGCCCATCCCACTATGGCTTGTTACAATCCCCACCTGTGACATTTCTTAGACTCACCTGAAAAAAATCATACTCCTGACTGGAAATACCATATTTTCTTTTTACTGAATATATTTTGAACTATTATTTTCCCATTTTTATGGATGGCTTGAAATCAAGAGACACTGTGTGTTCCACCATGGATTGCTGTGGTTTTGTAGTTGTTACAGGATCCTTTCTACAGTTTCTTTGTTCACTGCTGAGTTATATGCCATTTCACTTGCTTTGGATCATATGGAAGCTAAGCAGTACCCTAATTGTACATTCGATATTGACTTGCTTAGCTCTTTCAAGGCTCTGGAATCGCATATCATCAGTTCTTAGCCAATTCTCTTGGATATTCAGACAAAACTAGCCCATTTTTCTGAATTCCTGGTCATGTTGGTATTTGCAGGAACAAGTTTGTTGACAGTGTAGTAAAATCTGTCTGCTTTGGCAATATTGCAGTCCTACTTGTTCCTTGTGTATATTTCAAACCTTTCATCAAAGCAAGGCTTCACACTGGTTGGCATTCAATTTGGAGTGAGCAACATCACAACAAACTTTTCCAGATATATCCTTCTGTTGTTGTTTGGCTGTCTAGTTTCTATAGGATTCAGAGACAAAAAGTTGTATTGATAAGCCTCCGTATTGGACACAGTTTCTTTCCCATCAATATCTCTTACAAGGGACTTAACTGCTAATTTGTGGTCTTTTAGACATTCAAGTCATAACTACTCGCATTCTACTGTGACTACTAGCAAAACATGTAGAAACATATAGTGTCCCTTTTGAGACTGTTGATGGTCTTAGAATAATTTTTGTGTACTTAAAAAATGTTTATCATTTGCGTGTTTTAATTATATTTATCTTGAATTTAAATATTTTAATACAGCATTATTTTAAACTAGTTTGATATTTCGAAACAACCTTAAGAAAACAACATACTAACTAGATTGATGAATATCTGTAATTGACAATAAATTTCTTGTGTTTTCTACATTTTGTGCATTTGTGTGTGTATATAAGTTTCAAAAAGCTAAAAATTAAAGAAGATAATACATTATAAAGAAGGATAGTGTGAATCTTGCACAGCATATCTAAACCTTTGATGAAGTACAACTAAATGTAAATTCATGAGAGAGAAGGGGAAAAAATCACAGACACAATACAACATCCAACACTAGGGCACAAATCATAAGGTGGGTCATCATGTAATGTGCCCTGGTTTCTAGAGGTACTGGCAGCAGTAAGACCCAAATTGCATTGAGGGTATGCCATCTATCCAGTTTAACCTCAACTTTGTTGGCCTCACATGATTAAGAAAAAATAAAATAAAAAATGAGCAGATGTGGGTGCTCTAGCCCACAATGTCTTTACCACCTTTTTCTGTCTGCAAACAGATGTGGGAAGGTGGTTGCTCACAAAGGAAATAAAAAATATAAAAAGCAGCAATAAATAACAGAATACATTACATAAATGGGAGAGACAGCAAAACTGCCCTTTAAGTTAGCATTTCAGACCCTAATATGAAGTTTGGACATAAATGCCAAGATGTTAAGGTATTACTATACTAAACTATAGGCCCAACCAATATTATAAGTATAGCTCCCATCTTCCACCCTTATGATTTGTGCTCCAATTTTGGATATTTATTCAGTGGCTGCAATTTTTTTCTTCTCTCTCATGAATTTACTTTTAATTTTGTGTGTATGTATATATATTTATATATCTTTTCTCCTGTAGATGAAAATATGTCTTCTGAATAATTTGATTGCTTTCTTTAAAAGCATAGTTTTGATACAATTTATTACATACAGCTAGGTTTCAAATACAAACAAGGTTTCTGATTTGTTGCGTTAGCCATCATTTTTAAAGATGTAACTTAAGTTTGTACAGTGTTTTCTTGTTCTTTCATTGATGCATGTTATTGACTTAACATTTGAAATATACTGTAAAAACTGTATAACCAACTTATGCTTTGACACAGTGTTGCAGAACAACACTATTACCCTGTTATATGCTCTTCAGTGGTAATTGTGAAGGCCTGTTGTTTGATTAAGTTATTTCTGTATTTACAGATGTCACTCCAATGTCTTTCATGTTTTGACAAATTATTTAATTACATACATTCCTATATTAACTGTGATGATTGTGAATCCTGTGCTGTATTGTGTAGCATCAAACAAAGGTATGTTTGTTTAGTTGTTAATCTGTAGTATTTGTTTGTAGGCAATAATACTTATGGCCTCATATTAGTTATTTTAGAGCTCATTTAATTAAATAAAATATTTATTCTGAAAATAGTGCATATCTCTTATAGCTACTAAATTTATCAACATTGTTTTTAATGTATTCAAAGTTGCCTACAATATAAGTATATTGCCTGTCTGCTTGTACATGGTATTATATTTTCTGTTCTTATATTGTAACTACTTTCTAAACATTTACACAATTCCATTTGTATAGTAAAACCCAAGTAAAGAAAAATAAATTAATGTTAAAGGGAACTGGCTTTAGATATGAAATAGGACATATTGCAAGACGGCTTGGGTCAGTACACATAGCATCTTCAACTCACATTGAGCATTCTGCTCTATTAACTTTAGCCAAGAGGCTAGTTTCCATCCAAATTTGTGTGGCTTTAACAATTTATCTGAACATCCTGGGTTGTCTTTCAGGCCCCAAAAATCCTTTTGAGGCTTGAAAGATATTAAACCTAAATTCCTGTCATGGATTTATTGTTGTTGTTGCAAGAAGGTTCAGGTGTTCATCAAAGAAGATCAGTGTAGTATGAAGTAATGTGTTACAAGGGAGGTGAAGTTTACCCAGAAAAAGGACTTGCTTTGTTTAACAAAACATTGAAGGACAATAAGGGATCTTTTGGTCCATTTAGGCCCCTTCTAACTCTTCTTTTTTCAAGAGAAAACAAGTTCAGACATCTTAACCTAACCTTGTATTACAACCTTTCTATCCCCAGGTATTGTCCTAGTAATCCTCCTTTGAACCCTTTCCAACAGTTGAATGTATTTTTAGGGTAAAATACCCAAGACAGTCCTCTAAATTTGGCCTAACCAGTGACATTCAGGGTTCTCACTATGGTCCCAGACTCTCAACTTTTTTCAAGAATCCCAGTGAGATTTTCAAGAGTACCATAGGTAGAAATTAATAAACTCAAAAACAAAAAAGCACTTCAATATCAATTTACACTGCATGTTGTTTCCCTTTATGAGTGCAAAATAATTTTCATGATAAGATTAAAAATATTTTTCTTCGTTCTGAAATTTTCAAATATCATTTGCACAACTCCTAAAACCTCCTAAATAAATATCAAATGTTTTTTGTTGTATTTTTCAGAAAACTTTATATTTCATCTGTTATTTTCTTTATCCTAACTCTATCTGAGATCGGTTGATTTGACCAACCTCATAACCACCATAGACAAATTAGGAAATAATTATAAATTCCCCCTATTTCCTTTCTGTAATGACTGCAAATTGTAACAGAAACTGCAATTGTTTATACTAAATAGCTTAAAGTTTCTAACAGTATACATTTGGTTGTACTTAAGTTTCATTGTTTTATTGCCCTTTAAATTGAAAATCATCTGGTGAATGTACAGCTCACATTACAGTATCGAATTACATAACACATGGACCACTCGTGAGCGTACCTCATAAAAATTATTATTATTTTTTTATTTTTTTTTATTTTAGCTAACCTAAAAGGTTTTCAATTTTTACTTTTTAGTTACTTTTATAATAATAAATAAAGAATACACATGAAAAACAAGAAATAAAGTACTTGCCTGGGTCTTTCTTTTTTTTTACTCTCGACTGTCGATGAAACTTATCCTTACTTTTTTTTATACTAATTGTACTACTGCATTATATAAGTTCTATTTAAGTAAATAATGCACCAAAGAACAGAGAATAATAACATGCAAAAAGGAAACAATGTTCCATAACTATTACAATTTTTCTGTTTTTCTAACTGTGCGACAAAAGCAATTAAAAATTCAGCTAATCTCATCAATATATTTCCTGTGAGAATAATTTGAATTGTAAGGACAATAGACAATTCTCTGTACAGACAACAAAATAATATAATACATCACTTGATAGTGAAAAACTTTAGCTTTCTATTAGTTATAAATAATATAATAAAGAGAGAACTATTAGCAAGTTCTGAAAGAGAGAATCTGACAGATGGGCCTGGCAAGAGGAGTTCGATTTTCTCTTTTATTGCTCTGTAAAAGCCATGTAACTTATATTTTGCTTGAACAATAAAAACATTATAATGGGTAATTTACATTAAATTTCATACTTCTCGAAGGGGTGGTAAAAAAAAATTTGAGAAAAAAGAAGACACAGATAACAAATGTCATAGTTCTCATACTAGGGGAGATTGAGAATTTTTATAAATATCTCCTTATAAAAGTAAGAACTCAAAACTTAAATAATACTAAACTTTGATTTATTATCTGTGTTCTGATTCCAAGTTTATTCATATATATTGATAATAAAGTAGTTTAATTGAATTTTAAATTTAACTCTGTGAAAGGTTGTGACATGCGCACTTTGACCTACCCATGATGAAAGGGTTAATCCTGTGGTACTTGTCATTGATGAAATCTGTTAAAAGTTTATTGCAAACAGCTATGTGTAAACTGTATGTTATGGTAAAAAGTTTGAGTCAAAGTACTTGTACTTGCCTCACATTTTTTGGGCATTTTGCAGTACATAATTGGTACCCAGGAGAGTCAAATCTCATGCATACAGAACCTGGGAGTTTGAATTAACTAGAACCCTGACATTATAACCTCTTTAGATATGTGCTCAATATCTGTGTAGATACAGTCTAAAATCCTTTTTGCTGTGTCACAAGCAACAGTACTTTGCTTGGATGACTTAAGAGACTGATGAACCAGAACACCAAGATTTTTTCATCCATAACACTCTTAAGGTTATTCCATCAAAATTATTATCATCATAATTTGAATTATAATTCACATTTATTAAATTAAAAGTCATCTGACATCTATTTGCCAAACTCACTAAATGATCCAAATCTTTTTGTAAGTAGGTAGCATCCTCCTCATAGCCAGCAACAACCAAAACTTCAATGCCATCAGCAAATTTAAATAATGTATTGACCACTTCATCTATGTCATTGATGTAAATCAAAAAAAGAGCAAAGGTCCTCACAATGAGCACTGAGGTACTCCACTCTTAACATTAATCCAGTTTGACAGAACTCCATTTATAACAATTCTCTGCTTTCTTCCATCTAGCCAGTTTTCTATTCAATGAGCTAACCTATCCCCCACACCTCCAGAGATAACTTCTGTAACAAGCCTTTTATGCAACACTTTGTCAAATGCTTCTTGAAAATCCAAATACATCAAATCTACACCCATACCTTCATATGCATAAGCAGTAACATCTTCAAATAATGTCAAAATATTATTAAGGCAAGATTTTTCCCTAGTGAAACTATGCTGACTATCAGAAAAAATGTTAAGCTTTATTAAATGACTTTTGCAAAGCATCTTTTATCAGACTTTCGAAAACTTTTCCCATCATTGATGTAAGTATAATAGGCCTATAATTACTTGGAAAATTCTTATCACCTCCCTTGAGAAGAGAAGTAACATTAGCCAACTTCCAATCATCTGGCACCTGCTCACTGTTCAAGGACTTACAAAAGAAATAGTAGCAAGTGGCTCATATATCCAATCCTTAACCTCTTTCTAAATCCATGAGTAAATATTATCTAGCCCAAGAGCTTTATCATCCTTTAAACTTCCCAATTTTTTCTTAACAAGCTCAGAATTAATGTGATCATCTTGTTTAATTTTATTTCTATCTAGCAACTCTCAGGATGAGGAATATTGTTTAAATCTTCATTAATTATAACTAAAGAAAAGTAGAATTTAATAACCCATCTATCCCATAATCATCAGATAGTAGCCTTCCTGTATAATCCCTCAAAGGTCTTACTTTAGTTTGTTTACCCTTAGTGTATTTGAAAAAATAATTATTATTAATTTTTACATTTTCAGCCAACCTTTTCATGTAGTTTTTTATTTCTTAATTTTCCATTTAACAAATTCTCTTTATCTCTCATTGTTGCAGTCACTTTAAAGCTATTATATTTATAATGCTGTTCTTTAATTTTATCTTTTATATCCTTTGTGAGCCAACCTGATTTTTATTTGCAACCACCATTTTTTGTATATAAGGAACATGTCTATCCTGAATATTTCAGAATGTATTTTTAAAAATTTTCCAACTTTGATCAGTTTTTCCAACTAATTCAGTTGCCCAATTCATAACAGATAATTCTTGTCTCATTTCTTTAAAATTTGTTGTTTTTTAAGTTGGAACCAAAAATATCATTATTCCTTATTTCCATATGCAGCAGAACATCACATTTAACTGAGCAATGATCATTTGCACCCAGATGTTCCCCAATATCTACCCTGTCAACCATTTCTTTATCAAAAATTAACTATAAACTAAAATAGCATTGTTCCCGGTAGATTCCATGACTAATTGTTGAAGAAAACCATCTCTTTCATGATTTGACTGTAAAATTTCCCAATCTATATGCCTGAAATTAAAATCTCCCATAATATGACTTCATTAGCAGATGAATTCTTTGTCTCACTGTAGAGTTTCTCATTAATTTTATCATTTTTGTCTGGTGGCCTGTAACAAATTTGAACTAAAAGCCTTCTCCCCTTATAATCGCTAACAGAAAACTAAATAGATTCAACCTCATTGCTATTAGCTTTGATATCCTCACTTTGAAGAAGATGTAACTCACATTTTTCATATAAAGCCACTCCTTCCCATATTTTAGTACTCTAATAACATCCTATAACCTTCTACTTCAAAGAAATTCCTGTTATCAAAATTGTCTACATTTAGCCAGGTTTCAGTTATTCCATTATATCTGAATCCTCTGTTCTGACCAGTTCTATTTTATTTCTAGTATTATAATAATAACAATTCAGTCTATCATTAAAGACTACCTTTGTACTCTGTTTCCACACTATACCTCTCTCTACATTATATTTTTCTTCATTATTCTGCCCCTCTCCACAATCTAATCCTAGTTTAAAGTTGAGTTAATAGACATTGTAAACAAGCCAATCCTTACACTCTTTAAGTGTAAACCATTCAT